CCTGCCCATCCCATAGAAGGCACAGCGCAGCAGTAAAGCACACGGGCAATTTAACACAACTTGGTGTTGAATCAATGGCACAGCTGTTAACAGCACGCAAGCATGATGGAACGCCCAGAGAAGATAAGACACGCGTGGCATGGTTTGATGACAGCCCCGTGTGCAGCCTGAGAGCACATCCCAGCCCTCAGGGACGCACCGCGCTTCTATAAACCGGAAGTCCTCATTTAAAGTAATAACTGTGATGACAAGTTACCTCCCCGAAAGAGCCGAGTGTCCACCAGAGAAGTTACACCAGGACACGAAGGGGGGTCGTAAGTCCGAGCCTTCGTTTCTTTCTGTCTTGTCACAGTCTTGCCGAGAAGCTCTGGCACTTGAAGTAGCTCCCATGCGCAGTGACGCTGCCCTCTGACGGAGGGGACTGGGTAATCCTACTGGGATCACACGACCGCCCTGAGGGTCTGAGAGACTCGCAGGCCCTCCACCGGCCTCCCCGTGGCTGGGCAGGACCTGGAGGAGTCGCGGATGCCAGGTGATGGACAGTGAGGGCTGCGGTGACAAACGTCCCTGGACATCACGTGTGAGCAGCGGCAGTGCCACCTCCTCTGCTGTAAGTTGTCGTTTCGCTACATGCACCCAGAACGGTGTCCTGTGTGCCCTCTCCTCAGCTGTGGCACTTATTTAAAAATAGTGTCACAGACTGAACTTGTTGTAATGAAAGACTAGAGCGAAGCAAAGGATAAGCCAAACCTCCTTAAACTAATATTGAAATAGCCAAGATCTTACGCAGGACCGCTGCACAGCAGTGAAACATGAGGCCCTCGTGTTCGCGCCCTGAGGCTCCCCGAACCACCAGGCTCATGTGGCCCCACGATCGAGCTGGCTGAGGCTGGGAGTAACCGCGGCATCAAGATCCTTTCAAGGATGCTGTCTCTCTCTCTGTGTTTCTCTCCACCCCTCTCTCTGTGAAATAAATAAACTTGAAAAAATAGCCCAAATCCTGCTTCAGTAAAAGTACCCTCCTGGCATGGTTTCATCATTTACTCTAAATCCTTTTCCTTGCAAAGATCTCCTTGTTCCTCGATAGCGTAACAGATACACGCGTCTCTCCACCTCCCGCCCGAGTCTACGCACCAGAAACAGGCGGCAATGAACGCCCTGCAGGGGCCCGACGTGCACCAAGTCCCTGCCAGTCCCTCACTTAGCACGAGCGGCGCTCAGAAGACAGAAACCGCCGTGGTGAAGATAATGGGAAGTCTTTCGAGGCCTCTACTTTAAAGTAACATCGTTATCTTATTAAGGAGCATAGTTAATTCTCTCAAGTGGCATCGCCCACACTGAAATCATTTCTCTTATTTACAAACACATGTAGAGTAGAAACTATGTCAAAATCAGACTTTTAGATTTCATTTAACACTAAGGGACCTTCACTTTGACAGCTGAAATCCCATAATAACCGCAGTTCCTTCCATGCTCAGCACGTCCATAGCTGCGAAGTTTCCAGTTTGTCATTTTCGGTGACTGGAATCGCACACGCCCGCACCCTGACCTTGGAGCCGCAGTTCCTTGTCACCGAGGGGGTCGCTCTGAGCTCTGACTCTCTCTGCGTCTCAGACAGCACACCAAGACGTGGCAATGTGCTGTTCTCGGCACGCTACGAGCCCAGGCTGCCGCCAGCTCTGCTCGCTCACGGCGTGGCCTGCCGGAGCGCACCGGCGTGGCCTGCAGGACCGCACTCTCGAGTGGCGGGCAGCCAGCACGCCCGACTGTGCCATGCCTCACTGCCGCCAGCAAGGAGCGAGGAGCATCCGCGTCATCTGCTCCTTGGACTCACCAACACACATGTGGTGGGAGGCCACTCAGGTTCGCAGTGTTTTAATTCTGCTAAACAAGAAGTCTGACCCAAGCTGTTGGAAACCCCTGTGTCAGGCCCTGGGGCACCTCCTCCTGGCCTGGGGGCACTTTGTGTCACTGGCTCTGAAAGATGGAGATGATACCCCGGCCACTGAGCAGTAGGGGACAGAGGGAGGCCTCGGGGACCCTCATAATCTGGGGGAAGTCTCTCTAGGTCCAGCATGTTGACTATTCAGACAGAAACATATTTTAGTGAAAAGCAACGCACCCTCTTGTTAAACAATGGTTGTTGGTTTTCATTTTCTTTTTATTCCAGTTTTTGCCAAGAAAAAACTTATAGAATCAAAAGCAGGAGAGATCAAAGGTTGGCACCTCTTAGTGCAGAACTTTACATTCGGGAAATAGTCCTCTAGCAGCCAGTGAGGACGAGGAGGCAGAGTTAGAGATGAGACGGCCCCGTGCAGCTGGCTTTGCTCCTGGGCTTGTCCACACCTCGGCCCTTTGCGAGAACCCCATTCCACCCTCTGAGCTCTTCATCGGACTTGGCTGTTTCTGGGTGAAACACAACACCCTCTGTCCATGCTTTCTGGCGCCAGTTCAACCCGGCCTGGTAGTACTTGGTTTCTTCCCCAGGTTGTAGATGTGGCTCACTGTGGCCTGGACATGCTCTGCTGGGTCCACTGTCCCTCCCTGCAGCAGCGGGGCTCGAGGGCAGGGGTCGGCCTCGTGCATCTCTACCTAAGCCCTGGGCTGCTCCGTGTCTGGTTTCGAGCTCACAAAAGCCACTGGGCTGGTCCATAGTGCAGCAGCTAGGGACCCCAGACACCGCATGGCCAACTGGGCTCAGGTCCTGAACCCAGCAGCTTAAAACAACACACCCGGATGTCCAGGATCCTGATGAGATGGAGAATAGATTAAAAAGGAATGCGGTGTGAACAGGCCTGCTCGGGTGAGGCTACCTCTGTCTCTGTCTCTGTCTCTGTCTCTGTCTCTCTTGCACATACGCAAGTGTCCTCTGGCATAAAATAAGAGTCTGTTAAGTTGAAGTGGAAAGAAATATGTGTAGCTATTTTGCTAATGGTGAAAACAAACCTCTCCCAAGGACCCTCTTGGTCCCTCCTATGAAACACCCACTCATTCTCATCAAATAAACACTCATCCCCAGAAAGCGTAGTGCACACAAGCCTCCATCACACAGGAAAAGCACTAAGTATTTTCTAACCACTGGATTATTTCATCGTCTAAACATCTCTCTTCCTCGAATCTATGCCCTCGGTAACGGGGGCGTTTCCGTACACACCTGTACTGCCAGCTTTCGAAGCTGAGTAAGACTGGGCCCACACGTGCAGGCACATGTCCCGACTTCCCACAAAATCTCGGAGTGACGGTCACCGTGCGAAAGGCAGTCGCTGCCCACTGACCGCTCGGCCCCGAGAAACGGCTGCGCTTGCTCTCACGTATTTGCTCAGTAGACATTTTTGATGACCACCTTTCTAGAAACGTGTCAGGACACCAAGTACTAGAAGTAAAAGAATCAATTGAACACAATCTTATTTTAAAGAGAATAAAAAAAGGCGTGAGCCCTCTGGAGTAAAATCTATAGGCAAGTTCAAAGAAAAACAACCAAGTAAGAACAATTATTCAAGACATATAGGACTGGGAGCAGATGGCTTCGTGGTTACATCACTGGAATCCCACCTAGTGGACCGCGGTTCAAGTCCCAGACCTGGTGGCTTAAAGCTCACACCAAGAGGAGAATGGAGGAGAGAGTGAGTGCATGGCCACCCCCCGGGTTGGGGGAGGGATTACTTGCTTTCTGTCTCTCTGTATCTTCTGGCAAACTGGGGTCAGACTCTTCACTTCAGCTTGACACTACGGCACGAGACCTACGCACAGAGCAGGCCCTGCAGAAATGCAGCAGCCAGGCACCAGTGCCCCCAGCTCACACCCTCTGCGTGTGCTGGTGTCCAGACAGCACGACAATGCCCAAACTAGAGCGAGAGCTGTACTGAGGGGGCAGCGAACCCAGGGACCAGAGGGGGTGGTCACCGTGTGAGGGCCCAGTGACCTCCCCATGCCTGACCGTGGTCACCGTGTGAGTGAGGGCCCAGTGACCTCCCCATGGCTGACCGTGGACACCGTGTGAGTGAGGGCCCAGTGACCTCCCCATGGCTGACCGTGGACACCGTGTGAGTGAGGGCCCGAGGTCCTCCCCATGGCTGACCGTGGACACCGTGTGAGTGAGGGCCCGAGGTCCTCCCCATGGCTGACCGTGGGCACCGTGTGAATAAGGGTCCGAGGTCCTCCCCATGGCTGACTGATTAGACAACTGATGATAGCACCTTCACCCCAATGGCCCGCAGCACGCGGAGAGGCTGACTCAGGCCAAAACTACCGAGTTTGAAACCAGGCTCTGCTCCTGACTGGCCATGTGACCCTATCCCCCCACCCCGCCCGTTCACACACACAGAAGAGAGCTAAGGAAAGGGGAGGGTGTCGCTGACGCCCGAAGACCGTCCCTACCTCCTCACGGTGCCGGCCACCAGCACAGTGATAGGACACCGGCTTTTCTCAACCAGGATGGGGAAGACAGCACTCAGAGCAGGCGGGGAGTCGTGAGGTCTTCGTCACAAGGAGAAAGCGATGGGAAACGCAGGAAGCGTCGCATGCCCCTTGGTTCGCAGGTGGCCGGTCTTGGCCATTCTCCAGGGCCGACTCTTAGGAGGACTTCGCAAACCCAAGTCAGGGAAATGGTGACTATAAGCCACCAAGGGACACGGACACCCCGTGTGGAAGGACAGGAAGGAGACGCCTGCCACCCCAAGCCCGGGGCAGCTCGGGTCACAGGACCCGCAGTTGCAGGGCCTGGATGGAGCGCGGACCCTCAGCAAACCGCACTTCACTCCCTCCCGGGGTGGGGCATCCCCGTGGCTCAACAGCCCCTCGCCGGGATGGAGGGTCCTGCCGGGTGGCTGCCACGCCCCAGCCCGGATAGAGCCAGGAGGCCGAGGGGCAGGTGGCACTGGTTCCCATAACATGAAATGCCACGGTGTGGACACCGCCCCGCGGAGAGCCAGGCCTCGTGGAGCCCCGGTGCCGCTGTGGCCACGGGCGGGCACCGCCCCCCGGCTTTGCCCGCCACTCACCTGCAGCAGGAAGTCGAAGAGCGCCATCTTGGACCACTCGTGGTGGTGGATCTCGGTGCAGCCCCACTCGGGCCTGGGCACCCGGCCGTTCTGCCAGCACTTCCGCTTCAGCAGCCGCTGGTAGGTCCCCCAGGTGAGCACCACGGAAGAGTGGGTGTCATGACTAGCTGGAGACAAGGACGCGTCCCAGAGGACAACAGGGCACGGGCGCCCATCTGTGGGTAGGGACGACACACGCCATCAGCGTCCGGCCTGCAGCCTCCCGTCTCACCTGGGGCCCGGCCTCCGCCTTCTCAGGGTGCAGGGTCTCTGCGCCTCGGGGTGCTTCCTGCCCGATCACAAAGCGGGAAGCCAGCACGACACGCGAAGACCCTTTCCAAACGAGATGCTTCCGAGACGTGGCAGGAGCGGGCCCCAGGCCCCGGCAGCCGCAGTCCACCCCCAGTCCCCCCCAGCCGCAGTCCACACCTAAAAGCAGCCGCCATGGAAAAGGAAAGAAGCCAGACACCCGTGACCGCCAGGCCCGGTCTGCGCGGAGCTGTCCTCTATCTGTAATGACAACTGTCTGCTGTCCGAGGCCGCCCTGTCGTCAGGAGGAAAGAGAATTTTTAGAAGTCACAAATTTAAAAGTGGAATTGTACAGTTCACACCAAACGCTGTAATCTGCCCAGAAGGAAGAAGGCTTTTTCTTCTTTTCTGAGAGGAACTGCAAATTCAGAAAGGGGTCTTTAAGTCACCAAATCTCAGAGTGCACTCCAGCCAGCGTCTCTTCTCCACACCCAGAGACAGCTCTGTAGAAATCTATCACTCAACCGTTCCTGTCTCTAGTTTCAAAATGCAGCGTCCTTCGTGGCTACCGTGTGCGAGGACTGCTGAGGCCCTGAGGCCCCGTAAGCGAGCAAACCTTGAGTAGCCCACTTGGCCCACCCTGCAGCCTCCTCGCCCACAGCGCCCGGACCCCTGTGGCCAAGTAAGTCACGGAGATGCCCCCGCAGCTTTGCTGCAGCTCAGGAATCAGGACAATGCTCAGCTAAGTGACAAAGGCCCGAAAAAGCCCGCCTCGGTGGTTCCTAACAGGCCCCTGGACCTCTGACTGGAGTGCCCAGACAAGTCGCACCCCTCTTCACAGCGCCTGGCAATGGCCGCAGATGCTCAGCCTCGAGGACCCGTAGTTAGACGCTTCCATCCTGCCTTCTCGCTCATCTGTGTTCTCACTGCACTCTCACCTCGTCTTTGTCCCCAGCAGAAATCTTCTCCCCTCGCCTCACGTGCAGGGCCGTGGGAAGCGTGACCCGTCTCGGGCAGAGTCGGGGTAAAGCAGAGAGAACCACGAGCCCTCTCTGCAGCGGCTCCATGGCAACAGGACCTGTGTCCTCTCCATCAGTATTTCTGTTTACTGCACTGCATGGGTTAGGGCTTCCTGGGGTGAGATCGTTTTAAATGCTGTACCCCAAATACATGCCAATTTCAAAAAAGTAAGACATTCCAGGTAAAAGCAGCCCATCGCGTGGTGGAGACGGGTCTGGGCCAGCGTGACCGAGCGGGGTAGAGGCGTGGCTGCCTCTCAAAGGCCTGTGCTCCCAGCACCTGCAGGGACTCCCCAGCAACCCAGCTAGTGCACCCTCGCACCAAAGCCGTCCCCAGCAGCACAGTGCACCCTCAGGGCGAGGGTAGTCGGAAGGAGTGGAGAGCTAACACTGAACTCCCACTGCAGTCACACCGGGCAGGCAGGCAGGACGGCAGGGCTCCGCAGCGGCCACCCAGGGGCTGCGCGACCCGGCTGCTTCCTGCCGTCCGGAGACGTTGTTCCCTATCAAGAAGTAACTACGAGTACATCCAGGAAGTGTGAGACGTTAGAATGTGTAGCTGAGAAAGAGAAAGCCATCTCTAGGGCCAGGACATGCAGCAGCGGTACCACGACCCACACGGGAGGTGTGACCACATCCCAGCACCACCCTGAAACAACAGCGACACGCGTGCCCAGGACCCGGGCATGGACACAGCAGGGGGCCCGCTGGGGAGCTGCCTCTGCATCTCTGGCTCTCTTCATCTCTCAGAAGAAATAAACTGCCTAAAAAAGCCAGTAGCTGGGAACCAGCAGTTAGCGTAATGGCTATGTCACTGGATTCTCACGTAGTCAGCCGCGGTTCACGTCCCGGACGTGGTGGCTTAAAACTCACGCCGGGCGCGTGTGTGTGCATGCCCAAGATCCCAAGAGGAGAATGGAGAAGGGATTGCGGCATGACCATCCCCTCTGGGGGGTGATTTCTCGCTTTCTGTCTCTCTGTCTGGCGAGCGCACACGCCCTATAGCGAAAACCTCTCCAAAAAAAAGAAAAAAGCCAGTAGCTGCTTGTCATCTGCATTCTGAGTGCCCATGTTGGCCGCCCCTTCCCTTTCACCTGGACGCATAAACCGCTAACAGAAACGTGAGGAAAGGGCATGCCTGTGGTTAGGGCTCGGACTCTGGAACTCAACCCATCTTTCAAATTCTAGTGATGTTCCTCTTTAACTTCAGGGTGGCAGGCAGGTAAGCGCTCCTCACCACGCTCCGCCTGTTCTGTGAGGGGTAACAGGAACCTCCTCCGACGGACGTCGTTCGACTACGTGAGAGCGTGCATCAGCCGTCCTGCCATGGCTCCGACAGGCACACACGCCTGGGAGGGCGTCAGGCGTGGCTCCGACAGGCACACACGCAGGGCCTGAAGTCACAATACGTGTCCCCGTGTCACACGATCACCTGCGGCCCTCCAACTGGCAGTGAGCTGAGCATCCATCCACTACAGGCCAAACACTGCTCTAGAGCCCGAAGCTAGAAACATCAAAACAAAATGTCTCCTTTACTTTATTTATTTATTTATTTATTTAATTTTTTTTGCTTTTATTGACTTTACATTTCTACCATGGGAAATGGGCAACAACCATGAAAAAACAAAGCTACCCAGGCCACCCCTGTGCAGCCTGCCCTGGCTGCCACACTCTGGTGTTTCTCTCGCCACCCCCTTCCCGTAGCACCGGGTCGGTGTGACGCAGCCGGCTGGCCTGCTGACTCTGCCATGACACACCAGCGTCGTGGCTGTGGGGCCACGCAGCTTCCGCTTGCAGAGCCCGCGGCTGTTGGCGCACACGGGACGCGAGCCACCTCTCAGGGCCAACAGCGGCAGCGGGGACGGGATGCTCTGCGAAGCCAACCCGCATGGCGGGGGCGGGGCCCGGGGTCACACCCACCGGCTCCCCAAAGGCACACACATGCCCACGACCGGGGCTGGTGGAGCTGGGTGGCGGTGTGCGGGCACTGTCTGGGGGTCTCTCCGTGTGTCTCTCCTTCTCTCACCTCCTATCTCTCAATCATGGAAGAAATAAATAAACTAAAAATAATTGGCCATGACTCTTCCAATAAAATTTTATTATAGATACTGACGTCTAAATTTCACGTGATTTTTCAGTGTCATAGTAGTATTATTATCCTTGTGATTTTTTCTACCATTTAAAATTGTAGAAACCATTTTTAGCTCACTAAGTAAAGGAAGAGGGCCCTTGGCCAGTGGGCTGGAAGCTAGCCCTTACTTTCACCAAGTAGACGCCTATGTTTGCCCTCGCGCGACTTCAGACCACCGTGCTGAACAGCACAGCACGGGCTCTATGCTAGTAACTCAGAAACCCTCCTCATGGGGCTGGCAGATGGTGTGGTGGTTAAGGCGCCGAACGCCCACATGGTCTCTCTCTCCCTCTCCTCCTCTGCTACGGAAGTGAAAAGCGGGGATGGGACGGTGTCTTGGCCTGCAGGTGGCGAGTGTGCACAGGGAGTGTGCTCAGGGCAGGCAGGACAGGAGCTGAGGTCTGGGCCGCAGGGAGGATGGCGTCTGAGGGAGTGTGCTCAGGGCAGGCAGGACAGGAGCACAGGTCTGGGCCCACGAGATGAGCAGTCACCTGCTCGCGACAGTCCTCACCCAGCCAGCATGGTCTGGACCTGCGGCTTCCAGACTTTAGTACAGAGAACTCAGAGTGAGCCGTCCTGAAAGCGCCCAGGTCCCGGCATGTGGGCCTCAGACAGCTGGAGGTTTGGCCGAAGCAGGCTGGCTCACACCGACTGTCTCCAGCTGGCCCAGTTCGGAATGGACGAGCAGAAGGGTGAGCCTGAGCCGGGCATGAGCGGAGAGAGGACGGCTGTGCCAGGAGCCCACGAAGTGCCAGTGAGACAGCCTTTGCCAGAACAGCGCTGGGGTCAGCGGGCACAGCCGTCACGGGCACGTCATGACCCCCAGCTTGGACCCCTTCACTCCGTCCACGGCACTGCCTTGAGAAATGGGGGCGGCCTTCCACATCCACACAGCAGGCGGTGTGAAGCCAGGGCTCCTGAAACAGCCCTGTCAAATACTGCACAGGGACAGAGGTGCGTACGGCACTGTGACTCCAGGAAAGGGGGACAGGTGGGAGACGGCTCTCGGACTCCGGGGTCTAGACTCCCCAAGGTCAGCCCGGCCCCGGGGGCAGCAAGTTATCTTAGAAAGATCGCGGGGTGATTTAGGAGACGATTCGCCAATGAAACAAACGCACTTCTTTGTTCCGTAGCTGTTTCCACTTCACAGTTTGTCCTCTCTGGGTGGTCAGCCCCGTGGGATGCAGGGAGGCGGAAGAGGAGCCTGTCTCAGGACGGCTCTGCCTGAACTGCAGAGGCCCATGGTCCTGCTTCCTGTCCGGGACCTGTGACTCACAGGTAGGCACTTCTGCCTTCTAGACCTTCTGGAACCGCTGCCCTGGGCCCTCTGCAAATGGAGACTTCCGGGTCCCTGTGTCTCAACAGCGGTCAGACCCGGCTTCAGAGGGTGCGGAGGTGCGGTCACCGCAGACTATGCCGGGGTGATGGTAGGGAGGCCCCATCCCGGTGTCCGTGTTTGTTAGCAGAGGACCTGGGGGCGCCTGACCGGAGCGACGGTGCAGAGCCCATAAGGTCCCCACTCCTCCCTTCAGGGATCCCATCACACAAGCGCATCCTGGCCTCATGGGGCAGAAGCAGCCCTCCCTCGGTGCTGCTGTCTCTCAGGGCACCTCATCTGCAGTTTCCCAGACCCCCACGTCCCAGAGCAGGAGCACTCACTGCCTTCACCAGGCCCTTCCTGGCTCTCCCAGCCCTGTGCCCCACCCCTGCCGCTCTCCCAGCCTCCCCACCTGTGCAGCTCTCCCAGCCCTGTGCCCCACCCCTCCTGCTCTCCCAGCCTCCCCACCTGTGCAGCTCTCCCAGCCTCCCCACCCCTGTCGCTCTCCCAGCCCTGCCCCATGTCTGCCAGCTCTAACCTAGACCTAGTAGCCTGAAATACACGCCAGGCACCTGTGTGTGCATGCCCAAAATCCAGAGAGGAGGATGGAATGAGAAGGGATTGTGGCGTGGCCACCCCTCTGGAGGGTGATTTCATTTTCTCTTTGTCTCTGTCTCAGGAGAGCACACGCCACATAGAAAAAAATTTTTTAATCCTATGTACTGAAGAAACATGGGCGTTTCCCTCCACATTTAAAGGACCGCCTTCTCCTGACTCAAACTGAGACCTGCCACTGCCCTGGCTGCCAGCGTCCCTGCGCCCCCACCTAGTCCCGCTCTGGCTTTCACTAGATTCAGGAGCTCCTGGAGGCCCGGAGAGTCACCGTGGAGAGCAGAGAGACACCGGGTGGGCCTTCTGCGGCCTGTCCTAGAGCCCCCACACTCCAGAGACGCTAGAACGCTGAGCCAGGGGCAGACACTCTGGGGCTCCTTCCAAATGTGACACACAGGGAAAGGTCACTTATAGGGACCAGCAACCAGGATTCGCGTCCCGGACCCGGCGGCTTAAACTCACGCCTGGCGCGTGTGCGTGCGTGCCCAAGATCCCGGAGGAGAATGGAGAAGGGATTGCGGCGTGACCATCCCCCCTGGGGGGTGATTTCTCACTTTCTGTCTGTCTCTCTGGCGAGCCCACGCACCCTATAGCAAAAACCTCTCCAAATAAAAGGAAAAGAAGAAAGAACAAAGAAAGAAGAAAGGCAGAAAGAAAGAAAGGAGAGAGGAAGGGAGGGAGGGAGGGAAAGAAAAAGAAAATCCCTTAGAAAGAAACCAGGACCCCGCGCCCGGCTATGCCCGCGCGCCTGCGTACCTTGGAAGGACTCGGGCCTCCTGCTCACCGACGGCAGCGTCCGGTTGAGCCCCAGGATGCGGTCCAGGTGGAAGGCGAACACCTCGCTCATGTCCAGCGGCCGCTTGAGCACGGCGCAGGGCCCGGGGCCGC